GAAGGGCCTGGCGGGGAGAGCGCGCCCCGGCGGCGGGAGGCCGCGCACGCACATAACGGGGCCCCCGCCGCTCCTCACCCAGGATCTCCAGGCGCCGAGTGGCGTGCGGTTCGTCGGTGTAGACCCACTCGAAGTCCTCTCGAGAGACGCGGCTTCCCATGGCGGCGGCTCGCGGGCCCGCTCCGGCCCGAGTGCTTTGGGCTTCGGCTCCTGAGAGACGAAGGCAGAGGGAGTAGCGGCTGCAGCTACCCGCTCGTGTCAGCGGGCGGTGGGCGGAGCGGCCAAGGAGGAGGAGGTGGGCGGAGTCTCCAGGCTCCGCCCAGCCCCGCGCCTCTGGGCGGAGCTTGGCGGCCTGCGCCGGCTGCCACAGGGTGCCGTGTCCTGGGAGCTCGCGAACTCCACCCTTCGGGCTCTCAGTCCCGCGGCTTCACCCCGAGTCAGGATGCCGGCTCCGGCCACTCCCTGCTCCCTCTGAGCTGTATGGGCCTGCGAGGACAGGGAGGGAAATAAAGGAAAGGTGTCTGGTTAGATAAAGCAGTCGGTTTAGCGCCTCCGTGGGTGGAGCTCCCCCGGACGCCTGGAGCTCTGCCAAGCCACAAGGATCCTGGACCATTATTAGCTGAATGGCATGTGGCCCAAGTTTTGTTAATTTTTAAAAAGCAGATTGTTTGTTGAGCCTTTTTGGCTGCTGCCGAAATCACCTCCACAGCAGATTTTTAATTAATTAAAATAATAATAATGATACCTAAAGCTGGGTCTTCCAGTAAAAAAAATACACAATCTATTGGCAATTATAAGCTCATATCTAAGAAAATCCTGTTGCCGAGAAAGGAAAAGATGATAAAGGAGTAGCTTCGTGTTTTGCCTGAAACACTCCTCTGTGACCGCCTTCCAAGATGATTGCTCAATTTCGCATCTCTCATCACAAAAGCCAGCAGAGCCACAACCTCTTCCTGAAAGAGGGGACATTTTGTTTCAAAAGTAGTTAGCATTTCCCCATCAAAAAAGAAACTGAGTTGTAATCAGAACTGGTGTGCCTCGTCCTAAAAGAGCACACCACCACCACCACACACACACAAAAGGACCAGGCGTATAATCAAGCTGCTAAATCCAATAGGTCAGCCTTTTAAAACTAGCAGGCGCTCAAGCAGTAGAAATTAGGCTTTCTGCTTCCATAAAGATTTACAGCCTGGGAAACACCGGAAGTTCTACTCTGACCTAGAGGGTCGCTGTGAGAATGGACTGACTCACTAACCCGATGTTGGTGGGCCTTTTCAATATATAGGAAATAGAACCCAAACCAAACAATGCCATCTCAAGCGACAGGACAAGGTAGAATTGCGCCTGTGAGTTTTGCAGATTGTAAAAAGGTGCTGGAGAGAGTGGGAGAAAAATGTGGATGACACTCAGAACCATAAGGGAGACCTAGCTTAATGGTCATACAGAGACTGATGGGGCCCCCAAGATTGTGGCCCTTTGTCACCCTTTGGGCCTGAGACTATCTAACTAACACCTGTTGTTTTGTTTTCACACCTAAAAAGCAAGAGCCAGGGGAAAGGAGGGAAATCTGTAGTCTACATACAGGCATGTACATATGTAAATATATTTATATTTGATGAAGGGGAAATAGATTTCTGTGCATAGATTTATAGATTTAGTATTAAGGCAGCAGATGGACATTGGGCCTCCACTCAAGTACTTCCTCGATGCAAGAACTCTTTGTTCTATTAATTTGGCATTCCATGATGCTCACCTTCCCGACATGGTTGCCGAAGACAAAGCGGGTGCATAAGCAAATGTGGTGAAGAAAGCTGGTGGCCAGCTATCAAAAGATATGGCGTCTAGGGACTTGAAGATAAGTGACCATCTAGCTCAGAAGCAACAAAGCCCACATGGAAGAAGCACACCAGCCTGTGTGATCACGAGGTGTCGAAGGGATCAGGTATCAGGCATCAAAGAACAAAAAAATCATATCATTGTAAATGAGGGGGAGTGCACTTTGGGGGCCCAAAGTCCATTTGTAGGTAACGGCACATCCCCTTACAGAAGGATTGCAGGGAGGAGACAAGTCAGTCAGGGTGCAGTGTAGCATCAATGAAACATACAACTTTCCTCTAATTCCTAAATGCTTCCTCCCCGCCCACTATCATGATCCCAATTCTACCTTACAAATCCGGCTAGACCAGAGGATGTATATTGGTACAAATAGGAACCGGAAACACAGGGAATATAGGACACATGATCCCTTCAGGACCAGTGGTGAGAATGGCTGTATTGGAGGGTGAAGGGAAGGTGGGGTAGAAAAGGGGAACCGATTATAAGGATCTACATATAACCTCCTCCCTGGGGGATGGACAACAGAAAAGTGGGTTGAAGGGAGGGAGATGTCAGACTGTGTAAGACATGACAAAATAATAATTTATAAATTAAGAAGGGTTCATCAGGGAGCAGGGAGCAGGGAGGGAGGGGGAAAATGAGCTGATGCCAGGGGCTTAAGCGGAGAGCAAATGTTTTGAGAATGATGAGGGCAACAAATGTGTAAATGTGCTTGACACAGTGGATGGATGTATGGATTGTGATAAGAGTTGTATTGGCCCTCAACAAAATGATTTTTTTTAAAAGTGGCTTGAAAAAGTATATACTGACTATTTAGATTCTGATTAAAATCATCGAAGTTTTTTTATAAGGGACTTGTATGAGACAATTTAAATAGTAAGTGAGTATTTGATTTCTTAAGTATGATAATATTGTGGTGATGGTTTTCAGAGGAGTCTTTCCGTTTTAGAGATTCTTACCACAAACAGATCCAACTGAAAAATACGTTAATTGTGGTGCATGCAATGTTAGGCCAAGTTACCACTAAGAAACGAGGAAGTTGTTCTTCATTGCCATACAGCCAATCTGATTTACGTTGGTTCACGGGAACAACCCCCAAGCTTCATAGTCAGTGTTAACAATTTATACCACCCAGAGGCTCCTTATGAAGCACTGTGTAATGTGTTCATATGACTTGATCACCAGAGTACAGTTTCTAAATACACAAACATTTCTGTGGCTAGGCATAAAATATATTTAGAAAGACATCTAAGAAATGGTTACTTTGTGGGAGAGTAAGTGGCATTCTAGAGGAGAAAGGTTGTTGTTGGCTTTCGGTGCCGCGGAGGCTGTCTGTTCTCAGCATAGCACAACAGCCGTGTACAGCAGAATGACCCTGCCCTGGTCCTGTGTTGTCCTCACGATTGTTCTTACGTCTGAGCCCCTTGTCATCCATCTCATTGAGGCTCTTCCTCTTTTTTGCTGCCCCTCCACTTTACTGAGCATGTCATTCTCCAGGGACTGGTCCCTCCTGATTATGACCTAACCTAGTTACCGCATGAGATAGTTTATTGTGCCAGCCTGGCCCATAAACACAAGTGGGATTAACTGAAGGGCGGAGAGATAAATGGCTTGGTGAGTCTCGCCTTTCTTGTCTCTCATTCTTTGATCATCGGACCAGTGTGCAGCTGCCTTGCTTGTCCTGTGCCTCAATTTAAAGGCTACACTACCTGTGGGACGCCTAGCCTGTGGACTGTGTCGCTGTAAGTTGAGGTCCCTTTAAGAGATCGCTGGAGCTGGGGGCTGGCAGTTGGTGACCTGCCTTCTGATTGGCTGCAGTGCTGACATAGCCTAGCTCTCTCTATAAATAGAGGAAGATCTGGCAGCAGACTGGACTGGAAGGACTGCTAGTCTCTCACAACTCTCTCACGGCAGTGAGTTGAATTGAGCCATTTGTAGTGCTTTATAATTTAACTGTTTCTTTCTTGTATTATATATTTATCTGTATATGATTTAACAGTTCATTTCTTGTTATGTATCTAATTATCTTTATAAATAAACATATTGAATTATCAGCAATTTGGTTTTATCTCTCTAGAGAACCCTGTCTAACACACCGCATTACATCAACCATCACACTATTTTTCACATCTTCTTATTCTTGCAAAGTAATTTCCCTGGAGGCAATCATACCAGTTATTCTAGTAACACACTCCTCAGTCTGCTTAAATGCACTGTGAATGCAAATAGCTCTACATGATGTTACACAATTTTGGATGACTGCGTTCTGATGAGGGCTAGATTCATTTTAAGACAAGGTACATTTCCACTAAAACTTCCATTTTCCATTTATTTGTTTCTAAATGGGCAATTCCTTTTTTTAAAAAATCATTTTATTGGGGGCTCTTACAGTTCTTATAACATTCCATACATCAATTGCATCAAACAATTTGTACATATGTTGCCATCATCATTTCCAAAACATTTTCTACTTGAACCCTTGGTATAAGCTCCTCTTTTTCCCTCCTCCCTCCCCCACCCTCCCACCATTGATCAATTATATATTATTTCGTATCTTACACTATCTGTTGTCTCCCTTCACCCACATTTCTGTTTTTTGTCCCCTTTGGGAGGGGGGTGGGCTATATATCCAACCTTGTGATGGGTTTCCCCTTTCTCCCCCTTTCCCCTCCCCTGTCATCCCCCTCCATTCATGATATCACTACTCCCACTATTATTCCTGAGGGGTTTATCTGTCCTGAATTCCATGTGCCCAGATCTCTTATCTGTACCAATGTCTGTTCTCTTGTGTAGCCAGATTTGTAAGGTAGAACTGGGTCATAGTGGAAGAGAGGGGGAGGCATTCGGGAACTAAAGGTGCTATACGGCACCTTGTTCGAATCATCTCTTATAATCCTTCTGTTGGGGGATATCCAATTATCTGCAGATGGGCTTTGGGTCTCAACTCCAACCCCCCTTATTCTGATCCATATAGTTGTTTGTTTGGGCTCTTTTGATACCTAATCCCTGATCCCATCAACACCACATGATCACACAGGCTGGTGTGCTTCTTCCATGTGGGATTATTTACTTCCCTCCTGGATGGCTGCTTGTTTATCTTCAAGCCTTTAAGACCCCAGACTTTATACCTTTTGATAGCCAGGCACCATCTACGCTCTTCACCACATTTGCTTCTGCATCCATTTTGTCTTTAGCAATCGTGTCAGGAAGGTGAGTATCAAAGAGTGCCAGGTTATTAGAACAAAGTGTTCTTGTGTTAAGGGAGGCCATGAGTAGAGTTCCAAAGTGTGTTTGCTATCTTAATACTTAACATATCAATACTTATACATTGGCTTCTATCCCTTTCATTATAAATGAGTATGCCTTCGCTAAAAAGCAGTGATAAACGTATGA